TCCCAAAATATAATTAAGGCTAAAGGTCCCCAATCCTACTTGCCAGCTACGAAACGCCAAAGACACAGAAAGAACCGAAGAAAAAGCAATCAAAAACACATAGAAACAGACAAGCCCACCACAAGTTTGAATACATTTTCACATCACAATCGAATAAATTTTCCTGAGATCAAATAGGGTTTTCAGTAACGTAGTGCAGCCATACCACGTATAGAGATGGACGACTTAGAGTTACAGCAAGCATAAAAAGGGCCGTCGTAGTTAGGGCAAGGTAGAAAATATAAAAGATAGAAAACACGTGGAAGAAGGGAGAAATGGGACATGGACACTTCAAATGAACCTGGTCAATATACAAAGACTATCTGTGGACCAAAGCAAAATAGAGCATTAATCGTGACGTGAAAAAAAAGGGCAAAAGAACAAGGTCATCTGGATTTTCCTTAATACAACCTAGAATAGAAACAGTAGGAAGCCAACCGAGTGGAAATGGCGAATTGAAAGAGACAAAAGAAGACTTGAAGGGAGAACAATTTTGGCTGGAACAGAGACGAGAAGTAGAAGACTCCAGTAGAATGAAATTTGCTATCCGAGGCAAAGACAAAAGAAACCACCTGCTGAGAAAAACCCGAGTGAAAGAGAAAGGAGAGGTCACTCTGAGTTTCATTCCTGGCGCGTCCGTTTTACGCCATGCGGGTTCCAAGCACCGTCATTGCCCCCATGAGGCTGCCCAAAGAATGCAGGATTGAAGTGAGCATTTTGGTTTTGGAAACCGCCTTGCACTCTGTCAGTATCTAATCATTTACGCACGATATGGAAACAAGTTGTCCTCAAAATATGATGCCATACCTTGCATTCCCATGTTTCCTGCCATACCACCCATCATTCCGCCCATCTGATTGGGCATTCCTCCCATCTGCATGCCGCCCATGCCAATTGCACCCATTCCACCCACGTTAGGAACACCGCCAACGGGCATCATGGGATTCGTAGCGGGGCCACCCATACCCCCGCGACCCCCTCGCATACCACCAGGCCCACCGCGCATATTGCCCATCATTCCGCCGCGGTTATTAAATCCGCCGTAAGATTGCATACCTCCAACTGGCGCGCTTTGGAAGCCGCCGCCCATAGCAACGCCTTGAAAGTTACCAGCTCCCATTGGCTGCGAGAAGTTACGATTGGCGTTAAAACCTCCAGACATACCGCTGCGATTGTAACCGCCGCCACGACTACCCCGATAACCACTGCTACTATTCATGACAAAATTGGAGCTTTGGGTTGGAGAACTGAAATTACCGGACGATCCTGAACGTGCTTGTCGATCATCTTTACCGCGCATGGGATTATCCTTTGGTAGTGTACGGAACGGATTAGTGTTAGGATGTGTATATGTGACAGTGTATTTTCTTGAACTTTGTTGAGTGTTGAAAGATTCGATTTTGTGTTTAGTAGCAGTTGCAGCTTGGGATGACCTGAATTCAACAAAAGCTTGTCTAGATGTGGGGATAAATAGTTAGCTATCAAAGCCATCTAAGACTCAAAATTTGATGGTGATTTTGAGCATACCCTTTACTTTTACCATTCACTTTGTGCTCGCTGAACGTGACGTCTTTAAGCTCATCCTCAACCCCTGCTTGGTTGACCCAGCCTCTAATATCATCGTCTGTTGTCCACCAGTAAAGATCCGAAACGAATAGTGCAGTTGTCGCAGAGGGATCCGCAGCTTGATTGTCGTGACTCTCTTTTCGCTTCACTCCTTGCTGCGGTGGCGCTTGAGGCTGAGCCTGAGGTTGAGGCGGATTTGACGGCTGGGGTGTTGCTGCAGTTGACTCCCCAGTTTTAAATATCTTGTGATTTCCATTCTCGGCATGGCCATTACCATTACTGTATCTCTCGCTCGCCCCTTCATTATTTACCTCACCATTTTGTGGTTGCTCAGACGCATCCAGAACGATATCTGTTTCTTCGCCTTTGAAATCACCTTCCTGTTCATTTCCGTTGTAACCCCCACCATCCCCGTAGATGTCAATGTCAAAATTATCATCCTCAGTATTAGCCATGTCGTGAATCTCCTGGATGGGGAACCTGAATAGTGACGTAAATGATTGATCTTGATTTTCGTTATGCACAAGCTTCTGGCTCGATGAGCTTTAAGGAGAGTACATGTCTGCCGGTCGGACAATTCGTATTAGTAACAGAGAAACATGAATAGGGAAAAAAATCCATCAGATGTAGATTGCGTAGTGTGATGTGATATCTTAGCAATCGAGACGTATCGCTGAAAATCGCTTCTAGGTCTAGAAAGCGACATAAGGCGAAAGAGAAGAAAGAGAAAGCCGCAAAGCCAGGATATTCAAAAAGAGAGGACGGACAGACAGACAGACACACGTACAGAGGGAGAGAGAGTAGCAGGAAGAAGATACGTACAAATCCCGACCGTACAGAGCTGTCGAAAAGAGAACACAGTTTTTATTCGCCAAAGCGGGATTGGATTTGGTCCCTCACGAATGAGATAAGTTACCTGACTGCCTTCGATGGCAAGTGCAGGTGATATGGAAGTCTTTTGAGATATGTTTTGAAGGCAAAAGATGTCTGGTACAGGACAATGTCTCGGGGATCCCTCGCCCTGAAAAGAAGCAGTTAACCTGGCTGGGCCCAAAGTAATCTAGCTAGACAACAGTTGACACCGCCAATCGATTTCTCTCTCTCTCTTTTTTTTTTTTTTTTTTTTTTTTTTTTTTTTTTTTTTTGCAAAGTACAGGAAATAGGGTAAAGGGAGTAAAGGCAGCTAGGACGAGTCAGTCAAGTGGTAAAAGGCCAAAGGTGGGAGACATTGGATTCGAAGCCCAAAATGCGCAACCAAGTGAAGCTCCAGCCGTGCCGCCAAGGACAGATAGCCCTGGGATGTAAATGTAAGTCTATCAATTTGGAAATGGGAGACAATAATAGTGAGATATAAAACAATATGACGATGTGACCGGATTTGGATAGGGACAAGGCGCGTGTGTTTGGAAGAGACGTTGAAGATGCTGAAGTTGCCGTTCCAAGTTGGGGAGCTCTAGTTGTGCTGAGTAAGCCATAGGTCACGCCAAGGATCTATCGGAATAACTAGTCGCCGATGCTAGGTCCGATTCGGACATTTGGAAGGCCACCTCAGCCAGATTGTGACCAGGAAAGTTGGGAGAACCGTTGAAGCGTCGCACCTCGCGAAACAACCTTTTATCCCGATTCCTACCAGCAGTAAAAGTCGATATATCTACTTTCCTACCCCCAACCGCCATTTCCCCTTTCCTCCCGCACCTTTTTCTCCCACAATGTCAGACACCTTCCAGGAACTCGCCGATATCCCTAAGGATTTCGTCAAAGATGGCATGCTCTTCATGAACCGATGTACAAAGCGTGTGTACTGCCGCTCCAATCCCTCCTTTTTTCTTTCTACTTTGTTCTTGTTCACAGTTCACAATATAAATGCATTCGCGTCATATTTTAATTTAGCCGTGGCCATGTTTCCGCTGGCTACGGTCGAATTGGAAAACACCGCAAGCATCCAATTACTGACACGCACAATCAATCAGCCGACAAGCGTGAATTCCTCAAGATCAGCCAGGCAGTTGGCTTCGGTTTCTTGATCATGGGAGCTATAGGTTACTTCATCAAACTGAGTGAGTTGCCTGCTTCTTTGCTATTACCATCCGATTCGTCTAGGCATGATCCTGATCACACTGTAGTACACATACCGGTCAACAATATTCTCGTCGGAGGTGCATGATGTGAGCAATTTAAGCGAACGAAATCTAAGAGGGCCCCAGATAATCAAATATTCTGGGATTGATGCAAGTGGGGGGAAATGAGACAAAGATATAAATCCATTGCGTGCGAATATCCGATCAACTCCGTTTCTATCCCGGTGAATTCTATTTGTTCTGGAGAGCCGTGTCGTCAAACTTCTCATTCATTTTCTCCTTTAACGGCTGGTTGATAGGAGGTGTCATTAATGGGGCGAGACCGGACAGAGCATTTTTTTGTGAGCGAAAAGGGACCATTTTTGTTTTTATATTTAAGCAAAACACAATGGGAGGCAATAGGTGGAGGATGCTGGGTTTTAATAGATCCCTCCTTGCGTTCCCTAGTTTTCTTGTTGATATTTCTTCGCACTCTGTTTTTCTTTTTCTTTTGTCGAGTCCCCATTACGTTTTGCATATGTACAGTACAATATTCAGTTGTTATTTACGTTGGGCTTCGTTTCCTACGTTGTTGTTTTGTCCGTTTGTTAATTCGTTGCAAATAATTCCTTTTTCCTATTTTTTTACATGATTGGGGGGTTAATTAAGCCCATATATCGTTGAGTTCAGCAGATGGTATTAACGTATTGGGAATAGTTTGCTTCACTCGAATGGCATATATCGTATACATGGAATAGGAGGTGGCAATGTGCTATTCGTCGTTCAAGAAAATATCGCATGTCAAAACATAAGGCGATCAATACATAGCCACGGCCGAACAAAGGAGGAGATATCTTGGAAATACGCCACCCATATTCAATGAAAATGGAGGATAGAAAAGTGAAATCGTAATAGGCATCATGTCGATAAAAGCATACCTACCATGCCAAACCGATCGTCTGGTGGGGGGTATGCAAAATCTATATCGAGAAGGTTGGCAGAAGCACATGTTCGTCACGACATAAATATTTGCGAAAGCATAAACCTAATACAGGAACATAGATTATAAAAAGATAAATGAGGCATTGACCGACGAAGCTATCCGGCCCTACGTAAAAGGCCTTCGCAGCTCGTGTCATTCGATGGGCGCCATCGGATAAGCCAGCCACGCTGGAATCGGCGAGCATGCCTACCACGGGTTCATGTCGAAAGGATCGTCATCATCTAGTGCGATAAATGATGCGATTCCTATATGGCCTGTGAGCCGTCGGCCCTCTTCCGCAGAGCGGTTGCTGCTAGGCTGCAAAGGTGCCAGCTTGCTGTTGTAGCTTTGTCCGATTGGGCATTCGCCTTCGTCGACGTCAGCACCGTCATTCCAGACATGCACACTGCAGGTGCCGGTGGACATGCCCCAGCCGTTCCACGAGGTTGCTGAATTAATTGATAACATACATGATTAGCTAGGCTCTTCTCCTGCAGATGGAGCACTCGCAACCTCCAAAGGACTCCAGACCTGCTAATAATCTTCGAGTTTTGAATATGAACGGGGGGGAAAAAAAAAAAGTAACCTACCTGCTATAATGGGGGCATTTGGATGCCAACTTGCGTCTCTTACGCATGTTCCCCATTCGACCTCGCTCCTCCCCATCCGATACGCAGGATGGTACATGTCAGAATCGTGCTGCTGAGAATGGAACGAAGCCTCCCCAACATCGATAATACGAGCAACTGTGGCGTCGAGATTGTAAATAAAAACTCGGCCGTCTGAACTTCCTGAATACACATATCTGGAGTTGGCACTTATATCGGGAGAGAAATGACAGCGTATAAGTGTTTTCAATATACGATGTCCACGGAAGGTGACAACAGAACAATCGTATGGATGGGGAGTGTAATCTGCATCCGAGATAGACATATATCTGTAATCAAAGCCCGTGGAATAGCTGCTCAAGTCGATTGTATCTAGTTTCGCACTCGTCATCATCTTGCGTATGTCCCAGAGCTTCATGCTTTGATCCTTTCCGTTGCTTAATACATAACGTCCGTCTCCCTTACTGTCGACATATGCTACATATTTATTTCACACACGTAAGTCTGGGTGGCCATGGTACTTTTTATAGTGTAGGGTGGGATGATCTTTTCCACTCACTGATCCCTTCACTATGGCCTAGGAAACAACCCGCAGCACGGCCATCCCCCATTGATCTCCGGTCCCAAATCTTTATTGTCGTATCATCAGACCCTGAGTAAAGAATATGTGGTGAAGACTTATCTCCAAAACAAACGGCGTTGACATCATCATCGTGGTTTTCCAGTTTTAATATTGGCGTCCGGCTTTCGATGTCATAAACAACCACGCTTTGATTGGAAGTACCAGCAATCAACTCGCGACCGTCACCACTAAAACGAATACTCCATATCTACAAAAAAAAAAGAAAGTCAGTTTATTTACACAATTACATACATAAATTAGGGAATATATACCCCAAATCCTGATCCACTAGTGGGCGAGCCGGACCGCTGGGCAAAATCTAGCAGAGTAGGTTCCGAATCCGAAGACGGGTCTGTTCCTGCCAGGCACACAATACTTCGAATCGAGCTATATGCCAAATATCTGTTGTCCGGGCTCAAGCTTGCGTCTGTGAGAGTCCATTGCCCAAATGGGTATTCAACTGTCTTATACCACTTCCACTCGAGCGGATTTGATGTATCATACATTCGCACTTTAAAATCCTGGGCGCAGGAAAAAAAGAAATTTCCGTCGTCGGAGAAAGATCCAGAGTAACACCTCGAATTATAGTGAATGATTTTATCGGCCTTCGAACTGGGAACAAGATTCTGTTCATTAATTAGTCAGCGTTGGAAACAAGGACAAGCTAAGATCTGAAAAGTGAGCTGTTGGGGATACATACCTGGGATATAGCAGGCGGAAGAAGCTGTGGGCCATAAGCTAACTCCCTCCACATCAACCTTGTAGACAGTTTTTCCTTCCTTCGTTTTACCTTATCCACATAGTGCAAATTACTTCCATAATCCCCGGAATACATTAGCTCCCGCCCGGCATCGCTTGGTATTTTGGGTAGCAGGTGTTCACCAGTACGTGATCCGCTCATACGATATGTAGGCCTTCTGTATGCGTCATTGCCGTTTTCATCTAAGTAAAATCGTAACCCTGATATTCTCTGCATGGGTAAAATGCGACGTAGACCCTCTGATCCAAGAAAGCGAAACAATTCGGCCGCGGACACTGGAAATCATTATCAGAAAACCGGCAGCCTTTGCTTCGGACGAAAAGGGAGCTCGTTACATGGGGAATTGTTGTGCTCTGCGTCATGCGCCCCTTGCCCGCCGGATCCGCCAGCTTGGGCATCTATTTCCTGGTCAGGTCATCACCACAGAAGAATGAGCATCTGGCTAGACGGCATCTCAGAAAGACTTACCCAGAGTGGCAGGTTCTTCATAATCCTCCCAGTCATCTTCATCATCCCCTTCAATATCAAAGAAGTCTTCCGGAGGTGCAAAATCCCTATCATCGTCATCACCGACGGCATCAATAAACCATTCGGGAGCATCCTGCAAAGTCTGTCGTGAGCCAGGTTGGCTGCCGGAACCTGGTTGCGAGGATGGATTTGACGAACTCATGGCGGGGGAAAAAGCTTAACTGAGCTTAAACTGATATATTTCGAGAGCCCTTCTTCGAGAATAAAAGGATAGAGGAACTTTTTTGACTCCGGGTGCCGCGGGGAGCTGGGGATAAGGTTTTAGTCAGCATGATGGACAACTAGTTTAACTGTTCAACTAAAAGGGCAGCTAGACAGGAGTTGACCAAGTTGTCTCACCGTGATAACTTTATATCCGAGCAGCATGAAATTGAATGACCTCAAGATCCAACCAGAGAAAACGTACGCTGTAATGTAAATTCTACACTGCACTGCTTTCCCAGGCCGCAGGCTTAGTACGGTGTACATTATCGATCTAAAAAAAACATCAGAGGAGTGTCGGGTAGGTGCAGTTTGCCGAGGAAGGTATGCCAGGGAACTTAGCCACACGCTGAATCAGCGGAAGCTCCTTGTGGTTGACTCGATCGACGTGTTGCGCACTTGATCCACGTATGGTTACTCGCCTACATAGTATAACCTGGACAAATCCCTTTAGTGAATACCAATCCAATATTCCACTTACGATCCAAGAACTCGCTCTGTCCAAGATACCCAACAAAGACCACCCTGGTATCGTTCCTGGGAGATCTTTTGGTCTTCAAACCGAAGCCATACGAAGATGCAAGCTATACCAGATGCGCGCCAGCAAACCTTTGAGGAGATATATGGGCCTCCAGAAAACTTCCTCGAAATTGAGGTACATATCTCCAAGACACCCCTCCCGTGGCTTTCACACCTGCGTTGCAACTGGTTTTGTTACCCTTCATTTCCACGGACACACTACCCGCACCTTGTGTCCTGCGTGGCTGCCGATTTTATTCACCTACCCAAACACTTATCTCTATGAAGCTCCAGACTGACCTCCGCTGTTCTTAATTATAACAGGTAAGAAATCCTCAAACTCACGGTACATCGCGCAACATGTATACCTCCTACGAAATCGTGTGCCGCACCAACATCCCCGCTTTCAAACTTAAACACTCCGTCGTGCGCCGCCGCTATTCAGATTTCGAATACTTTCGCGATATACTGGAGCGCGAGAGCGCGCGCGTAACAATTCCACCTCTTCCCGGGAAAGTATTCACCAACCGATTCAGCGATGATGTAATTGAGCATCGACGCGAGGGTTTACAGCGGTTTTTGCAAATAGTCGTAGGGCATCCCTTACTGCAAACAGGGAGTAAGGTGCTTGCCAGTTTCGTGCAAGGTAGGGAAATAAATCGTTCTACTTATTTCCTGGATCCCGCTAACCGAATTTCACGCGTCCTAGATCCTAACTGGGACCGGAATGCCTGGTAGGAACCAAACCGGATCTATATCGTACAACTATTGCCTGATTTGAAGAGAGCTATAATACATTCCCCCCGATCAGTACAAAAGTCACGAGTCATGACGAATTCGAAAATTGCAGAATATTTTCTTTTCTCTTACATCTTCATTCCGTTATCGCCGCACTGATATCTCTGGGCAGAATGTCTCGAAGAGTACCATGCGGAGAATAATTGGCCGAGCATGCCAATAGCGAGCGTAACTACTTGATTGATTCGAGTGTCGTTCATCCCTTTCAACACGGAAGTGCCATGCGAGGGCAAAATACTGGCTACATTTTGTTTCTTTGGTCCTTTCGCCTTTTCTATCCGTATTCATCTGCCCTCATCCCTTGTTACCATTTCGTGCACATCCTTTGTCTTAATTTACTGCCCTTGTACATTTTCTCTCCCACCTCCCGTTTTTCCTCCCCGGTGCATATTAATCCTTTCAAGCTAATTTATCAATTTTTTATTTTTAACAAGCTGTGATCCTTTCTTTCTCTAATTGGGATCGGAATCGAATTTCACATTACTTTGCAATTACATCTCCTATATCTCGGGTGGCGTACCAGACGTATTGCATGTAGTATTTATAGTATGCGGAAAAAAGCTGTTCTTCAATGTTCGGAGTTCCTACATTTGCGCTATGACACGCGACTACACAGTGTGGTGGTTTAATCTTTCTTTCTATTATTAAAAAAA